GATGTATCGATTACTTTTAAAAAAATTTCTGGTTTTAACCAATAACTTCTCTTTTTTTTTTTTCCAGCCAGGGAACTGATGGACCGATAGCAAAACTAAGCTTATGAAAAATGATACAAATTTGTGAACAGTCAATATAATTTGAGCCATCATTTGCTGCAGTTAGTTTTAGGGTGTTTGTCTAAAGCTTTTGCATATTCCAGAATAATACAAGGAAAATTCAGAAATGTTTATCACAATATAAGTTATGATTAGAATTTATTGCTCTAACACTTTTCATTCTTTACCGTAACACAGTTCTAAATGCTAAATTTTTTCTAAATTTACACCTAAATTTCCAACATTTGAAATATATATACAACAAAATACTGAGGTCTTTCTTAATAGTGATGTTGCACGTTTTTTCACCTTCTTTTAAAACAGTATTTCTTCCAGGATTGCCATTGAGCGGCATTCATTTTTACAAAAATCTCTAACCAATATTCCTTCCTTGATAAAGAAACATATTCCCATATCATTATGCTGCCACCACCATGTTACATGATGGGGATGTTGTGATCAGGCTGACGTACAGTGTACTTCTTAACATGTAATGATCTGAAAATATGTTTAAAAATTCACTTTTGTTCTCATTAAATTCAAGGTCTTACAAATGAATGGCATTCTTTCAACAGGGTCTTTCTTCTTGCTTTACTTGTCCATAAAGCCCAGGGTTTTTGAGCTCAGGAAAAGAAATTATACTTCCTATAGATTGTACATCTTTGCAGCCTCCCCTGCTGTATCCTTCTTGGCCTATTCTATAATTAACGATCTCAGACATTCCAAAGGTCCTCCTTACTCTGATACCCTAAATAACGTGAAGCCCAACTGTTAACAAATTAGTAAATTGACGTCTTATGTTTGATGGCATTTCAATCACAGAAAAAAAAAAAGCTTTATTCATAAAGGTTCTATGGCTTTGAGTGCTTGTCTAAGGCAGCTTTTCATCTGCCTGTTTTTGCTGTTCAGTCAAACTGTGGGACACATTCTCATCGTTGGTGTAACAAATGTGTTGTTCTGAGCTTTGTGTCGCTCTGTTGGGTAGTTAGGCTCTGCAGATTCCATCTTTGAAATGGTCTTTTGACATTTGTGTTTGTTTGTGTCCAAGTAAATTAGTTGATTCTCCCTCACCACCCTCTGTCTCTGTGTGTATTAGTGTGGGTTTGTGTTTTTTCATGGCATTCTCTGAAGGCAGACGCATGCTTGAAGGGGACAGGGCTTTCAGCCATCAGTCACCATCTAACTGACAGTTCAATCTGATACCCAGATTCCATTTGCCGCACTTTACAAGCAATGGGATTGATAACAATCCCAGATACCCCGACCATTTTACTGTGTGTCTTTGAATGTTTATGGGAATGTGTGTGAGCATGTGTGCGCATGTCTTCGTGCACCCCTACCGCCCCTTTCCTGGGCTGCTTTTGTTCAAAGGCGAACCCAGCCTCCTGTCACTCTCCTGTCTGCCATGTTTCAGACTGTGCTCTCCAGATAAAGCAAAAGGAATTGGTTTCCTGTTCTCCTTTTATTTGACCTTAAAACACTCTTGAGCGTGTGAAGCCGTTGTAGGTGAGATGGCTGGCAAACGCAGGAGACACACGGCCGTTCACACTTCAGCAAATATAATGATCGCTTTTGTTTCGTTTAGGGTCTCTGAGACTAGAGTGTCCTTCTGGAAGTGTATACACTCCCTTAGGAGAAGATCCAGTGCTGACAAGTAAGGTTTATTGGCCAAACTCCTTAGAGACCAGTCCCTAAACATTTTCTGAGTTCTTGAAGCAAGAGAAGAGTTTAACCAAGGTCAGAAAAGAAATCGATTGTTCAAGTTCTGAGTTCTGTTCAAGAAGAAACAGTCATTTTATTAAAGTAGATAAAAATGAGAAGAGTTAATGATAATAAGAATCAAAATTCACTCATGAAGCCATTTATCATCCTGTAAGGGTTAAGATTCATTAAGACAGTACATTGTAGATTGAATGAACAAGCTGATATTAGTCTATTTGTCTAAAGAGCCCTTATCTACAATCAGTTCTGCCACTTCCAAACAAAAGTTAGCAGCAAACAGGTTAAAAGAGTCTCACAGTTTTTTCCTAACCCGTTTTGAAAGCAGGGATCAAAAGGGAGGGTGACAGGAAACAGGAATGGAAGAGGTGAGGCCGGACAATTGCAAGCAGGAGGAACAAAACTGAAAGCGAAGGAGTGAAAGCAATTGGCTGCATCTTCATGTTATGATCTGTCAGCGCTGACAGGGGCTGAGCGGAGCAAACATGCATCTCCTGTGTCCCCCTCGGTCAGTTTCCATGGAAACGCTAGTTCTCACTCTAAATACATAAACTGCATGCTCATCTGACTTTCTTTGTTTTCCAAATAGCCAACACAAGGTTCAGATGAGCTGTATGAAGGAAGGCTTAAATTAACTTTAAAGCATCAATGGGATATCATTTGACAGCCTGCAGTTGAAGCATCAGGATGGAGAAGTCTGGAGCTGCAGCTCATACTCCTCCACGGGTTCGAGGTTAGACCCACAATTATTCCGCTGTCATGCAGTGGTACAATTTGGCCATCGTAAGACTCAGACATAGCCCTATAACGAGCAGAAGTGCAGAGGCCAAGATAACAATCAGTCATTTGGAATAATCATTTCCATGAGTTATGTTTAGGGAAACGCACCAGTGAACTTAAGGCCAACGAGTTCAGCCTTAGGTTGAGTGAGGAGGTTAAGAGGAGCCCCTGGTGGCCGAGCATGAACAAACAGCAGCCTTACTACACGGTTGATCATGTTTTATGTAACCCTCAACCCTCTATGGGAAAAGTAAAATATAAGATCATTTTCTTTTATAAACTTGTCAATAACCACTCTCAAAAAGAGGTAATTAGATGTTTTGCAAGACGCTCACCTTTTTCAGTTGAGTCTCTTGAAACAGAAAAAAAATGTATTAGCAAAAATAAGATAACTTTAGTAAATAACAAAACATTCACTGCTTTTTTCTTTTGCTGTTCTTCATTATAGACAGATAACCTTTATATGAAATAAAACCTGTACAAGAAATTATTTTTTTGTTATTGAAATTTTAATTATATTTGAGTCACTATTTTTTTTACTTGATGTTATTATGTCACTCGGATCCTCTCTCACTTAGATATTTACTTATGCTTATTAAAAAAGAAATTCTGTGTGTGAGTCTGATTAAGTTTACGAACCCTCCTACTGTACCATGCAATGCAGTCCTCACTAAGTGGAGTGCAGCGTCTAGACTGATGTAGGGCCGTCTCCATCGACAAACTGTTAAGAGCTTTGTGCCTGTCTGTCTGGCTGTTGGTACTCTGTCCAGGCTATTTCACCACATTAACCATTTCCATTCAGTCCTCAACTGATGTGTTTTGTGGATCTGATGCTGTTATTGTCTTTGGCTGCAAACAGTTTTCTTTTTCCAAACCTTTGGGTGTTTTGACATCAATTATAGTGATGGATGACTGGAGGAAAACAGCTGAATCCCTACCGCTCACACACACAGTTTGAACACCTCTCATGATCATCCCTCCAGCATCAAATGTCCGGTCCTTCGAGGAACCCTCAGATGCAGGTGTTTTTATTTGTCTCTGGAAATATTAGCATGTCCTCTGTTAGACTGAACAGATCTTCATGCCTTTTGCTGTGAGCCAACTTAACTGATTCGGGCATTGATCTAGTGAGTGAAGGTCATGTACCATCAAACAATTCCCTGCTGGGAGGCCAAGAGAGCGTTTTGTGTCTAAACCTAACTGTGGGAGTTTGGAAAAAAACAGTTTAATATTTAACTTTTTGAACTTGCTCTCTACCAACATGTACTTTTCAGATGCTTCTGCACATTTATGCCCTCTCAAACAGCAAACATGCTCATCCGTAAGTATATCAGGCATTCAGATCTTGATGGACACATTGAGCTGTTTGAATGTTTTGAAGAAAGTTTGCATGCCTTTTTTTCCTCCCCTCTCTCTCTGGAATGTGTGCACAACGAGTAAAGACTGATTTATGTCTTCTCCATGGTGTGTACATGTCCTTCTGCTGGATGCCTCTCACAGAGTGAGTGTGTGGGTGTCTGTTTGCGAAAGCACAACAGGAGTTTTGGTTCTCACACATTCACACAGGTCTAGTTTAACAAATACATGTGACCTCAATTGATATCGGAAGCTTTCCAAATAGCTGCTGTCAGAGACTGACTTGAACCTGACTTTTGGTTGGACTGGATGTAGTATGCATGGGCCAATAGGAGCTGTAGGTGTTATTACCTTGAGGTAAACTAACATGGTTTTAGAATAGTTGCTCAAAAACAAAGTGCATAGCAAAAGCTTTATTTGAAATAGAAAAGCAACACGAGAATTACGTTGCTTTCTCTGTTTAAGCAGAAACAAGCAGCGACTGATCAATGCATGGATTGTCTAGATCTGCTTATTGTCCAAATGAACCTTTGTGATGCTCTGTTGATAGATTAATGCCTTTTGGGCAAGCCCCTGTTTAGCTGCTAAACTAGTTATGCTTTTCTGTTCAGGTAGAAAACCCATAATTATTGGCTTACTGTAAAAGACCTGCTGCTTGTAGCTTATAAACTACAGTTTTAAATCAGCAATAGCCTAATAAGAGTACTGCCTGTCTGTTTTTGAACTAAAAGTATTTTTTTTAAGATAACTGAATCGATCTTCATTACAAGCCAGAGAAAAGTGTAGTAGCCAGCTGACCAGCAGTTTGCAGCACAGGGAGAGAAGGAGATCTACTTTCCATTACTCTGAGGCTTTCACTTACTTCTAATTGAAAGTACTTTGAAGTAAATTTGGCAAAGTATGACTCAAACTTTTCAATGCTTAGCATTTTGTTATCTTGGACTTTAGTTCCGATATCTGGCTCACTTGTATTCAGTGTATCTATGTTTAACATAGCTGTAAAATATATAAACCAGTTCTTTGAAAACATTTTTTTTTCTTTATAGTTCAGTTTGATGGAGTGGAAAAGTCCCGAATGTCACCAACGAAGGAGGGAAAAACTCGTCCGCTGCAGCGACATTCTAGTGGTTGTTTGGTCAACACCAAAATGACTTCCCTAGACCACTGCAGCTCCTCTCTAGGGGAACGTATTGACCCCACGATGCCTCTGGAAAGCCAGTTGTGAGTGGGATTTGTGCTGCAATATTTGGCTTTGATCCAATTTGTTTATTTTATCCTTACCATTGTTTTGTCCATCCTTATTCCCTGCCGTTGGTATGCAGCTGGTACCACGGAGCCATCAGCCGAACGGATGCAGAGTCTCTGCTCAGAATGTGCAAGGAGGCCAGTTACCTGGTGAGGAACAGCGAGACCAGCAAGAATGACTACTCCCTCTCCCTGAAGTAAGGATAACATGTTTCTAAGACAAATTACATTCTGTAAATTAGCAATTTGTCTTTCTGAGGTCTGAAACTTGTGAATTGTAGATGAAGAAAAAAACAAATTTAATATCAGCAACACATATGATATGGCCTAAAAATCCAATCTCTGATTTTTTTTTTTTTTCCTAAAAAAATCGAATTAATCAGATTTTTTTGTTTCCTACCCAAGGTTTTATAACGGAAAAGGACAAATGACTTTCAAATACTTAGTTACATTTAAAACACCCCATCTGGGAGGGGGCCTTAATTTAAAGGGCAATGAAATCTAAGGTGTGAAAATGTTTGTAAAACAATGTTTTACAACAAAAAATGAAAATATAATAAATTGAATGTTTGTATTTAGTTGTGTTACACAGCTAGTATATTAGTTATGAGAAGACAAAACGTGATGAACTGATGTCACCCTGAGCTATGGAAGCCCAAGAACTGCATCGGTGGGAAAACAGAAAAAAAAGATTTTCCAAAAACTATATATCTTCATAAACAGACAATCCTAAATAATATATCAAATCGGTTTTTCATTGGTTCAGGAGCAGCAGTTTATAAGAAAAATTGGTATAATCCATTTCCACCTACAAAAAATAATATATAATCAAATACTGTTATAAGCCAGAGGAAGGCCAGATTAGAAATATTTCACAAAAAACTATAACTAAATGTGATTTTTATCTCAAAGTAAGTCTGAGTGGGCAGTTTACATTTGATCTAATACTGTCAATTCAGTCTGTAATCCCTTAGAGCAGCAGTGCTGCTCTGAGCTGCTAAGCTTCTCATTTTGGTCGAAACATTTTTAATGTGGACTGAACGATTTTGAGTTATTCTAACTCGCTCTCTGTGACCTTTTGTTATGAGGGTTATTGTCCCAAACAATTTGTATTGTGACTGGGAATAACAACCAACTAAATTTGAATTATTAACAGTCCTTGTTGATAATGCTGGTTTTATTATTCAGCCTTATTCAGAAATCTATATATGTTCTAAAAATAATATAGTCTCTTGGTATAAACCAACAATACTGCAGAAAATAAGGTGTTAATGCAACTATCCAGAGAAATGCCACTTAGAAAAGGTATATATATATATAGGGTTGTCAAAAGTATCGATACTCAAAAAAGTATTGATACTGAAACGTTGTATCCGGATACAATACTCATTTTCAAAGTATCGATACAGTGCTACCACCAGTGGCACCTAAGCAGTCATTCATCTAAAGTGTAGAATAAAGGAAAATGCACTTTCAGAACACTGTGTGATTGAATAATTCTGTGCACTTTTCAGTTTCAGACTTTTTTTCTGTAAAAGGTGCAGCTGCTGAGAATTATTTTTGTTTCTTAACCTGTTTGGCTAGTGTCATTGTTATGTGTGCAAAGCATAGCCAAGGAAGGAACACTTAATTTTAATTTTATACGTTTTTTTATCAAGCTTGTTTAATATTGTGCACAGCGTACAACCTTCATTGTATTTGATTTATTAATGAAAATATTTCTGTAGAATTTTGGAGTCTTTGTTTTTATCCTTGTGGTATCGAAAATGGTATCGAGTATCGAATATTTTCCTTAGTATCGGTATCAAGTTGAAAAGTTTAGTATCGTGACAACCCTATATATATATATATATATATATATATATATATATATATATATATATATATATATATATATATATATATATATTGGGGATGGGACGATTTATGAAAACCGTCAGAATCGTTCGGTTCGACTGTCTCGGTTCGGTTAGCGTGTGTTTCGTTCGGTTCATGCGCTGCTCCTTTTTACACTCCAGAGCAGAAGGTGGCGGTACTGCGACCAAAGCCAACCTCCAGTAGTAAACAAGAAGAAGAAGAAGCGAAGCAGCTTAGCTGGGTGTAGCAGGGAAAAAAATCAGTTGTTGTGGAGAGTTGTGTCGGACTGGCGAGTGGGAAAGAACTGGGGTTGGAAGACGCGCCAGCAGCACTTTATAGGTCTGCTGTATGGGAGCGCTTTGCATTTAGAGTGACCTACGATGACGGCGGAAAGAAAGTTGTGGATAAAAGTGCAACACGTTTTGTTTATGCTAACAGCAACATGTCATGCTAACCCCGAAATCCCTCATACTCCGTCAGCAACCCCCGCTGCGCTCCAGACCGGCTGCTCAAAGCAAAGCCTACAGTCCCCACTGTGGCTTCGTCTGCTCCCCTCTGAGTTCCTTGGAGATGGTAGAGAGCATGTAACCTGACAACAGCCAGATGCATGTGTCGCTAGGTGGAGCGAGACATGCATCTGGCTGTTGTCAGGTTAGAGTGCATGCGCCAGATGATTAAATTCAAAGCAGCAAAACATACGGAAATGATCCAGGGTTTCCGCGGATCATTTAAAATAATTACAATCCATTATTTTTGGGGGGATTTTTTCATTAATTTCATAATTTTTTATGGAATTTCGGTGTAACAATCAACATGTATCGAATCGAACCGAAAACCGTGACCAGAAACCGTGAATCGAACCGAACCGTGGATTTTGTGAACCGTTCCACCCCTAATATAAAAAAACTGTTTTCTCACCCCTCGTGGGGTGGTATGTGTCATCCTCAAGCTCGGGTCCTCTACCAGAGGCCTGGGAGTTTGAGGGTTCTGCGCAGTATCTTAGCTGTTCCTAGGACTGCGCTCTTCTGGACAGAGACCTCTGATGTTTTACCTGGAATCTGCTGTAGCCACTCTCCCAGTTTGGGGGTCACAGCCCCCAGTGCTCCCCCAGTGCTCCAATTACCACTGGCACCACTGCTGCTCTCACTTTCCACATCTTTTCTAGCTCCTCCTTCAGTCCTTGGTATTTCTCAAGCTTCTTGTGTTCTTTCTTCTTCATGTTGCTGTCGCTTGGGATTGCCACATCTATCACTAGTGCCTTCTTCTGCTGTTTGTCCATCAACAATCAACTGGATAGCTCGGTAGGTAACACCGACGACTCCGGCACAGGTGACCGGGGTTCGATTCCCGGCATGGACATCCAGGTGGACCCTTAGGCAGGGTCCTTTGTGCTTAGTGGCCTACCTCAGGCATGAGTGAAATCGCCCGGGTTAACAAGGTCTGCGTCAGTTGCTAGGGAACCAGGGCAACTTGATGACAAATTGGCTACTGGAACAAGACATAGATGGACTAGAGCATATATATATATATATATATATATATATATATATATAAAATGGTTGTATTTATGTAAATAACACTGGGCTGATGTCCGGCTCTCATTAGAAATATTATTTTCAGTTTCAGTTGGCATATAATCCAGCATGATTACAACTAAAAAAAGAAGGAAGTCTAACTTATAGTGGTATATTAAATCTGTTTGGCTTTATTATTTTGTTATGGAACATGCAGTATTACTGCCCTGCTTGCCAGTAACATATTCTGCCACCTAGATGAACCGTCATGAATCTTTATTCCCATTTATGTTATAGATTTCAGAGACTAAGGTCATAAATTACAAGGAGAGTAATGATTACAGTCTAGTGATGGAAATATTTTTATAAAGCATGTAACACTGAGCTATGATATTGCAATCTCAGCCCTCAAACTGTTCCCGTAAACAGGAGGAAACATCTGTCAGAACCACACTCAGTAAATAACCATCTGCCACAAATAAGGGTTGAGAGAACATCATGAACTAGATGTATAGCTGTGGTTTTGATAAAATGCTGACTCTTACTTTCCTGTATGGAAATAATTTTACCCTTTAGACCTTTTTTTTCGCGTGCTGTCCAACTCTGTCCTCTGCATCTCCTTTTTTCCCTCGTCTCCCAGCATCTTCTCCCTGATTTGCTGACTTGCCCCAAGCTTGGTTACCTTGTCGTTGGTGACCTCCCTGCTCTTTGGTGCATCCTGCTGAGGGTTAAAAGGAGCCTCTCTAATTAGTTTGGATATGAGCCTGTTCTACTGGAAAGCTTGTCTCCACGATGAAGCCCCACAGTGCAGTTGCTTTTGAATTTTCTATGTAATAAGAACAAATTGACATGGAAACGTATCCTGAAACATTTACCTCAACAAGATAAACATTGATAGCATGACTCTGACTGTATAATCTCAGTTTCTCGTCTAAGTAGTTATCAAAACAAAAAAAAGCATTAGACATGATACATACTGTGCATCCGCCAACCTTTATATAAGTGGAAACCATAATCTGCAAAGACACTGATTAGCCTTTGTTATGATAGCAGAGCTCATCTTGCTGGAAGCCAGATGTGTTGAAAGGGTAAATTATTCGACTCCCTATTCATTACATGTGACTGTAGTTATCTGTACTGCTTCCGTTCTCACTATATGATCTGCATTTTTTTTCAGTAAAGCCTTGTTTTCGTGCAGTGATTTAAGAGAAAAGGAGGAACAAATTCTTCGGATGTAGATCCACTGCACCGCAGTTCACAGCATTTCTGACTGGTGGACAAACTTAGGATCCAAACATAGTAAATATAGTGATTAAAAACAGTTGTGCATTGAATCCATTAGTCATATATAGTCTGGGAAAATATTTAGTATTTAAATTTTAGGTGCAAAAAGAATGACTGAGAATTGTGTATATTTTAATTTGGAAAATCACTTGGACAAAATCCATGTGAACCCTCTGAAACTTTTTTTCTTCATTTTTCTTCAGGTGGGTTCATACAACTGATTATGTTTTCTGAATAGCAAACAATGAACCTGAGAAAAGCAGGTATTATATGGTCTATTTTTGAACTGAGGTCTTTATATTTGTAGGCTCCCTGTTTTTCTGCAGTGTAGTAAAACTGTTGCATCATTGCTTAATATCCTCCATAGTTAGGCATGCATGGCCATAACACTGGCTTTTATAGAAAGAGTTATTTTTCATTTAAAATGTTGTTTTGGTTCAGTCTGAGCGGCATGTTGCTAAACAAAGGCCCTAAAATGTTTTATGAACTTTTCTCCTGGCCTTAAAGCTGAAGTCTGTAAGTTTTTAAAAATCACTTTTTTG